GATGCGAAGTCGTGTAACACGAAATCAGTTGCGTGCACATTCATCAGCGGGGCGATTGTGGGAGAAATTTTTAAAAATTTTCAAAAGCTGGTAAACTTAATTTGAGAAAAAAGAGACTAAAACGCAGAATTTAAATGAGAGAATTTTTTTGAGAAAGAGAGAGCTCAGTTTAAAATGAAAACGATACAATCCAAACTGAATGAAGGACTTGTGAAAAACGTTTCCTTGATTTTTGGTGTTTTCTGGTGATCGAACTCAAATTCAAGGAACTATGCGGTAATGAAAACGTCCTTAAAGTTACGAAAAGTAATGAAAACGTCCTTAAAGTAATGAAAACGCTCTTAAACGAGTTTGCGCCTCTCCATCTGATACAAATAAGTGTGCTATTCTCGGTTGCAAATGATGAATTTGTCAATTTCAGAGCAAATGTTGATCAATTGGTTGCATGTCGAAGCGCATTTGGAAGATTTTCTCATAAACACCGCATTTATGACACAATGTTGGACAAATACACTGATGAGAGCTTTCTTGAGCATTTTACTACGTCAGAAAATGATGAACTTATTGAAAGATTTGATTTGTTGTGGTTCGTTAAAGAGACATTTTTCTTGTGCGGCTCAGCGCATTCCGTTGGTATCTTATGTACGCAATTCGAATGTAAAAATGTTCACGACAACACAACACCCGAAGACGCAAAAGGTTAGTGATGTTAACCATCAGGTCTGACCTGAACATCTGATCTGCATGATCATTTCAGACGTACTTGCGACAGACTGTGTGTACTATAACCAGCTTCGAGCAGTTTAAAGTTGGCTGTTCATGTTTAAGAGGAAATAATAATGACTGCGAAAAGTTTAAATTCAGCACATTCACACAAAATTTATCCTTCCTTAGCCTCTGAAGTATTTTTACTGTTAAGGTCATAGGATCTTTTCAGTAGTTGACGACTTTGGCTAAGTCGCAATAGTTGTTTGCGTATTGCAATGAAAATGAAAATCAGCTACTCCACACTGTACATTTCTTTGATTAGTTTAGAGTTTTTTGGTTTTGAAAATTTGCAGTATTTGCCTGAATTGAATTGTACAGTCAGTTGCTAATATTCTGCATCATTATGATGGTATCAATTCTTTATGAACTCTTTCATGTTTAAGTCAATAATTAATCACCACATTCGTAGTCCTCGTTTATTTATAGTCCCAAAGGGGAAACTTACCTTCAAACATTTGAAATAACGATCACTATATTTATGCTATAATCTTTATCACCCTCGAGTAGTCTTGCTGTAAGACTCAAAAGATTTATATAATTTTTGTCAACCGCAAAGTGTCTCTCTAAATCGACTTTTACTGTCTTCATTTATTATCATTACTGTTATTACTATGGTTATTATTATTATTATTATTATTACTGTTATTATCCTGACTACTATTAAATGAAAACATTATTATTTTGCAAATGCTGCTTTTCGTCAGTGATTGATGTATTCTTTTAATTCCTAAAATAATTGTTCATTCTGAATCAAAACTCGCAGTGTTTATCATCCTCAAACGGAGTATTTCTTTTTTTTCCCAAGCCATTGAAATAATTTCCATATCCATTGTTTTGTTTGTGCCATTGTTTCTGAAGTTCCCATCAATGCTTCAAATTTCTTCGCAAACAATGCAGTCTCCATTAATGAAGCAATCTGCAGCCATCACTTAACAATTCTTTTTCCCAACTGAAATCCGATTAAATATTACGGGATTATCATCGTTCATTTTGGCTTTCTGCATTTTGCGCTGTATATCTACAACTCTATGATTTGCTTCAACACGAGATTGAAGTTATTTTTGATCACTTTTGATCATTCGATATCGTTACCTTGAATCAAGCATAAGAATTCGTGTCCTAAACATGTGAAACGATTTAAATCAATTAAAACAGAAGCAATTTCAATTGTTCGATGGAATACAAGTAGAACTGAATATAGACAAATTTATCCAGTCACATTTCGTATGTGCGTGAATTAAAAATAATCTGGTGAAAATGGAAAGAGAAGAACAAATGTCATTGCTAAATGTCATCCATTCACATTCCAGAATAAATAAATGTCACATTCCGTACAAAATCTCTAAAATCATTCGATGATTGTTTCGTTNACAAACACGACAAATTTACGATTCGTTATCGCTGATTCGTAAAGTTCACTCTTTTCAAATTCCTGCCGCCATTCATGCGAAAATAAACTTGTAGAAAGTGTGGATTCAACATCAGATGACTTCATCAGTGATAAAATAAGGCAGAAACGTACGTTCTGATGCGATGACCACTCGTTTGTACTTATTTCCAACCCATGTTGAGCAGCATGAGAGAGCAAATAGCTACGATCAACTAATCAGATTAGAATTTGATGAAGACGAATATTCTTAGCACTAATAATACGATTAGATGTGCGAAAAGGAAGAGGTCGCTAAAGAAAGGATGTGATATTCAGCAAAAATGATGCAATCTCTTAACGCATTGCGGTAATCAAACTGATTAATTAGATAGAGTTGGATATGAGTTTGATAAGATTACGAACACAGTATAATCAGCAGTTTTTTGTTCTCATGCATCTCATTTTGAAAGATGAGGATAAGAGTGAATGTAAATAATTCTGTTGTACAACGTTTATAATTGCTTTCCGTATTCAAGCTTATTTATTTGATCCTTTATTTGATATCTCATTTGATATAATGACCACAAAATAGTTGAAAGGAATTTATTCAACGATGCAAACGACTCGCATGAGACAATAGCTATGACAACTGCCACAACAATGAAAATATTGATCATTAAGCTTGGCTGAATGAACGAAATGAAAATGAATGTAAACGCTTGGCTTGCGTTATCACTGTTTTCACTGTTATCATATCACATTATGAATCACCTAATAATCGCACCAAAATTGTTTCACGTACATTCGAATCCACAGCATACCGCAATATTTACGCGATACGTTCAAATGAATCTTGACATTCAATTTGTCGAATGAATATTTGATCACAGTCGATACCTCGAGGTGACGTTTGCGAGTTATTGAAACACAGAATAGCATCACGTAGCAAATGTCCACAACGATGCGCTAAAGCACTTTGAAGGCAAACACATTTCAAATTGATATCACCGTTTGGTAATACACCACCTGAATGATAAATTTGAATGAATTCGCTAGAAATGAACCCATAGGAGTGACGCAATGATGTAGTAATCATATGCAGAAAAAAAAGACTTCTGAAGCTCGAATCTAATAGAAATTACCCATAATTCAAGACACTGCTGAATATGAAATATACGAATTTAATAATCGCATTACATTTTCTTCTGCAAGCATTAAGTGAGTGCATTGTTTCGATCGTACCATGATAACACTGAAAAGGATTTTGGCTTGCATTCTGCAATTTTACAATATTCCAAAGCATTCTAGCAGTTAAGCTCTGAAACATTTTAAAACGGTGAGGTTATTCCAACATGACTTATCACAACTTACCCTCATCTTTATCAGATTCACTATTTTCATCGAGATATTCAGCGATCTGCTTGTCTTTCAACGGTTGCCAGTATTCATCTCCGCTCATTCGTAATAAAACATCTTTATTACTGATCTTGTGGCTGTTTTTGGTGACAACAACTTTTCCATCGCACTCAACACGTGAAGATTCTTTCTCCAACATATTTCCCATCTGCACCTAATGAATCACATAAGTAATGCGTGCATCACAGAAAATATCTTATTCCAATGTATACTTTTATACGACTCCAAAACAGTTCCAGTTACCATTTCAAGCGTTATTTGCATGACAGTAACCTTTTGCATAGTAAATTTGATGTCTGTACGAAGACACCACCGATTTCAAGTCAACTAACCTTAGCAAATTTGGTATTCAGAAATCTGAAATATGGATATATCTGGATGAAGTAACAGTTTCTTTATCACCAATTCATGGGCACGAAACGCCGAATTTCTGATTTGAATATGCAATGTATTCACTGCTTCAACGGTTCAGTGTTGAACGAAGTATTTATTGCAATCGAATTATCCAAGTCCTTCATTGTTTAGCAATCACTGAACAACATAACAAATTCTTCGTAATGTTTTAAAGCAAACAGATGAAATTACAAACATGAAATGCTTATGACTTTGTTAGATGGCTGGCTGTGATCTTTGGTTATATTGTTTAGCGATGATAAGTTACGGAAACAACATATATTGACATGAAATAAGTGCAACTTGACGCATGATCTCTCTTACACATTCACTGAATTCCAATGCATTATAAGATGGATAACATGAATCCATCAAATGGATATACAAGGAAAATTGAAAATCATTTCACTAGAATCCATCAGAGCATTCAAAACAAAATTAAATTCATGACGCAAGAAAACAAAAATCTGGCGTCCTTATAATTGAATAAACATTGAGCGACTTTTCTGAATACACTGGATTGATATGGTGACCATATAATTCGATCAGATCAAGTTATTTAGGCTTTCCGCCTTTCGGAAAATCATTTGCTAACAATCGCTCACGGAATCGAAGCCGTTCTTCGTCTGAAAATGAAATTATCTAAAATCCCAACTGAAAACTCTGTTTGATTTAAAAACACTGCAGGAATCTCAGATATTTGACGGGGAATTTATGAACAGAATGGTTGTGAAACGAGTCAAATATTGCATGAAAGTTTACCACACATTTGCTGCATACAGCACGTCCAATCGATGAAGGGTTCTGCGCATTTCTCAGTCACATCCTCGCTATCGTTCAGACCAGACATACATTTGTACATGATACGAAAATAATGACCACAACGATGCGCTACCATCGACCCGCCACCCATACAATCGCACTGCCAATTTATTGTACCATCAGCAAATCGAGCACCTGATCACAATTAAATTCTCTCTAGAAGACAGTCATAGGTCTTCCCTTTGCCTTTGTCATCTTACAACATGTTGAGAACGTCCACTATTATTATACTGATATTGTTAATTCTGCTGTAACCATACCCCTGTCACTGTGATCTGTCCTATCACTTTCAATAGCCACATGCATAGGTGATGTATAATTGAAACACTAAGCAACAATCATACTGAAACAAAGAGTTTGAATCGAAAGCGAATCAGAATGACAATCCTTTGCAAATGAACAAACATCAATGATTCAAGATCACCTAGAGGTCTCTTTATCCTCTTATAATCAAGAAGATATTCATGCGAAGATGGGATCGCTTTGTGATATTCTTCAGCACTCATCATAATGCGTTCATCTTTCTCGCTTCTCTCATTCAATCGACCATTGCTACTCGAAGCTTCCACTGACGACTCTTGATTGCCAATTGAATTCTTTGATGAGAGCCAAGCGAGTAGACGCCGAAACATCGAATGCACTCGCAATATCGGAAAATTTCAACCTCTCGTAAATATGCGAAACTTGGAGGCATCAAAGGGAACCGTGACTTCAAAACCTACCATCAACTCAAATAAGAATGGCAACAAAGTACCAAAATTGATGAGATGGCGAAGAAATAAAAACAACGTTATCACCATCACAATGCAATCAAACACCAATCATTTATACATTGTAAAACGAATGTATTCAAGAAAAAAAANAAAAAAAACGAATATCTTTTATAATGAGCAAAATCAATAATTAACTGAACACAAAATCCACGTTAAATAGATAACCAACAGACAATCATATCAAATGAGCGAACTGCAAAGATAAGAGGTCATACCAGCGAGATGTTCGTCTAAACTGATCACTTCATCACTTGACGAAATATGCAAAAATTTCAAACGACAATCAAAACAACCAGTCTTTCCTCGATTTCAGAAATTTTTGTAGAATAAACGACTAATCATGCTGCTCACATCAGTAAGGTTCAATGAATCAAGTTTCGACTATGAAACAAGTAAGCGAATTCATCCGAAGAGAAGTGGAATCAACCAATCCAACGGATTCATTATAATGTTACCGAACAGAAAGATCAGTCAAAATACCATAGAGATCAATGTAGAACTGAGAACAAAAAACGTACGGATAGCACTATAAATAATAAAAGACCAAAAAAATGAAATTTAAACGTAAACACATCATTCCACAGAAGAGTCATATAACAACCAAGTGAAAATTTGTAGAAGCATATGAAACGATTCGAACCACAGTGATAACATAACCAAATGTGTAAGAATTTCCCCGCTCCTTACAAATACCAAAAAATTACTTCCAACGAAACAATTAGAATAAGCGAAGTGAAAGTTTTCAGTGTAGCATAAACAATACTACGCACAATCACTATGCAAACAATAGATTCATATTTAACATCATCAAAGACTTAACAAAGTGTTCTCGGCAAGATATGTGACGAAAGCAATAACCACACAGCAGCAAAGATAACATCATCCTGAGTTAACTGTCAATGGTATTGATTTCCACATTATAAGTCATCACTGCTAATGGTCCATGCAAAAAAAAAAGACATTCCACTGGTCGGTATAGTCAAACAGCAAATGTCCTATCATCGAAGATAAACAATCATAGGGTGAAGTCTGATAGGTAATCCGTTAACTTGATGTCAAGGGAACTGAAAATTGGCAAAATCATGAACGATCTGAGATTTTTGACTGTCCAATATTGCATCAAAATAAAATTTTCTAAACACCCAGTTTTTTGACATGTAAACACATGATTTTAAAAATAAATGAAGCAAAACAATCAAATCAAAGTCATACTCGCTAAGACGGCTCAGTGTTTCGTATGAAGTCAAACATTTATATTTGGGCATATCCAGATTCGCATCAGTAGAAGTTTTACACAGATAACCCTTCCTGCACAGATCAGATAACTGAAAATCAACGACCAGTAATTTTTCGCATTAATTCACATCCTACCTAACAGAAAATTCCAAAATTGTACATTTTCAAAGACACTCAACGCAAGTAATTTTCCCAATACCTTTCAATTGTGAAATAACAAAATCATATTCGATTACTTAAACAATTTATCAACAACGAAACACAGCTACTTCTTCATATTCATTTGCAATCAATCACAAAGAAACTTCATCGTTGAAATAATCAAACCAATCCTCTCACCTGCGTATGAATATTAGAACATTGAGGCGTTCTCGTGGAATACGCTTCCAAAAACGATAAATAAATAAATAAAAGTCGTTGTAAATCGAAACTTTTCGGGCCATTCTCATGGGCAGATGCCTCGCGATCGGTTTTGGCCATTGATGACCGTCGTCTTTGTTTACCGTGATTCTGCAATTTCCGTTTCAAATTTGCGACAGATTTATTACTGCGATAGGCGCATCAATTGAATGAACGCCCTCAAACAAAACATTCTCTAAGGTATCATAAAGGGCACTTCATATGATTACATACGATCTGGAGATAACTTTCCACAGATCGCTTTATTCCTCATTGCTTCATACGGCTGGATGAAATAAATTTTCGAATCTCAAACGGGTCAGTCTCACAACAAATTTGACAGGAGTTAAGTCCATTTCTAAAACCAAATGAGGCGAAATCCATCGAAGACAACCTTTGTGAAGAAACGTCGATCTGTGGCTGGTTGATTATAACTAGCACAATATGCCGCAACCAACAAGTATTTCGTTGACATTGGCAGACCTTCAACATTGTCCTCATCAGTCTGAAAATTCAGTTCTTTTGAAGGTTCCATCAAAAAATTCTCCACCTCAAACAACTGAATGGAAATCGTCGACCTCTTTGATGGAATGTCTGTCGAATCGATAAAACAACTCCTCACAGCATCGTCGAAGTTTCGGCTCTAATGTTTTATAATCATTAGCGGTCGTCTCATAGGCTGGATCGAAGACAGTTGAACAAAGCTGTTGATTTTTGTCCCAAAACGACTGTATCTAAAGGTCGTGTGTTTCAGAAAAACTGTAATATTCCGAATGAACAATCACAAAAAATTTACTAAGAGACGAAAACTGAAGAGACCCAAATGGCGTAACCCCACTCGGGAAAATCCATATGTTTATTTGAAACAGGAATGCTTTTAACACATGTGCTCTTGGCGCAAAGAGAATTTGAATAATCACCAAACTATAAAAGTCCTCAACGAACCAAATATTCAAGTTGTTGTGAATCTCTGCAAACTTGATAGACAGTATCCAAGATGAGACGTACAAATTTCTCGCCATATGGTACTCGTTCACACAGAATATGCAGTAGCTCATCTGAAATACGAAAAAGTTTAGGAACAAACCGACCGATATTCCTTCAACAAAAAAAAGCATTTAAATTCTACCACTTCGTGGAATGAAAGAAGTCACTGAGGAAGTGTAAAACATGAAATCATAATATTGATTTGAACGTAAATTAGGAACGCGAGACAAATGAATTCGATAAATCTGACGTTTCTATAACAAATTTGCAATTTCCCAGGACGGAACGCTTTCAAATAATTACCTTTGTTCCAATTCCTGAACGAAAATTGTAACGGAGACGAGATGTGTTCAACACTTTCGAAATCAGACCACGGCACTGTGGCAACTGTTATCAATTTCACTGTACCTTTAAACTGCAACAGATCTAAATCAACTTTAAATACTTGCAATAAAGCTGTTGAGTTATCCGTAACTGATAACATTACATCGACCCAATTTTTTTTTCAAAACACTATTCTCATTTGGAGAAATTTCTTGCTCAGTGTCAGATTTCTTATTATTCCTATTCGTGGATAAGTCTATCATTCGAAATTTCTTGTCACATTCTTCACAAAAATTCACGGCAATTCGATGTGCTTTCTTTTTTGAGCTTGTAATGACTTCTTAAATAGAAAGCAAATCTGATATGATCGAGTATACCTTCCGTGGTGCTGCAAACAAAGCCTTCAAAAATCGAGCGCTGAGCCGTTGCAGAGATTCAGCGAAAGCAAAGACAATCACCAATGTTTTATTGGTGTTGTTTACATCCAACAATAACTCGATATGATCGAATAACTGCTGTAATGAGCCGATTTGCGTGGCACAACTATAATCTGGCAAACATGAAACAATCTCATCACACAGACGACGCCATGATCCTTCCAACAATAAACAATTGATACGCGCGAAGATAGCCTGGAATTACGCTTGAATTTTTCTCTTTCAATAAATTTGAATTTGAATGCTTCAAATCCAAATCCGAGTATGACAAATGAAAATGTTGTAAATTTCAATTGAATTTGTTCCTTCCGACAAGACCAATTGAATTTCAACGTTTCAATTCGAAATCAGAGTGTGAATGAGAGGAAATGCTGTAAAGTTTACAAAGTCACGAACAAAGTTAACATTTACAATTGAATCACTGGAATTCAATGAATGATTCACAATCACTCAATCAGTGAGTTTGTAATATCAATGAGAAATTCAGAGACATAAAACAGAAAAACAATTGAGCCAGTTCAAAGTCTGTCATCAAGTTCAATGATTGAACAAAAAACCCACTCGATTGTGTTGTTCAAGGTTTGTGATAACCTGATTGAGGACATCGTCTCGATTCGTCGACGGCAATCCATACATGTGAAGATGTGTTAGTGTTGAGCATTTTGAGCATATCACACATTCAAGTTGCCGTATTTTTTCCTCAACTTCAATATTCATTTCGCAGAAGCCGTTCTTATTTCTGCAATGAACAAATCAAAAATCTCCAAAAACTCTTTCAGAAAACGATCACATAAAAATGCAAAAGTGGCAATACCGCATCAGAATCCATCCAATCAGCCGTATAAATCCATCAAGTACTGCTTCTTAATCCGGTAAAAAGAAAACGAATTGTTAAATTGAACACAATGCTAGCCAATGTGCACGGATAACGAGCGGATAATGGAAACGCCAAAAGGCGGAGCACACATTGATTTTAATCTTTCATCGCACAATACATCTCCCTCCATCTTGTGAAGAACTACATTCACTTGCGATTTCAAAAATCGCAAGTCTTTTAATGACTTGTAATGACAACCACACATCAGATATTGCTCAAATTTATGGAAGCTGAGCTCACTCAATTGCTTGATATCATAACGAATGCCATAGTGGAAAAAGTTACGAAGTGCAATACAGACATGGATCCGAAATGAACATGCGTGTATGTGAATTTATTGAAATGGTAGTCAATTAAGAGGTTCACTGGTAGCATCACATGGATGATT